ACACAGCGTTGTATCTGGTTAGCTAGAGTAAATATAAATATATATTGGTTAATGTTGCTTCCCGTCAATGCTTTTCGTGGTCAACTGACAATTCTCAAGGGACCCGCGATGCACCACTAAAAGACTAAAAGAAAGACGGACAATTGTGTTACGTTTTTTCACTCACTTTATTTCAAAGATAAGGAGATACAGTAGTCGTAACAGCATTTTTGAAGAGAGGGAGATCGGGATAAAGAGGGTTTATGTCAACAGGTTAGGCAACTACCTGTCATCACGTGGTAATATGCCCCATTAAGAAATCTGGGAGCGGTGAGTCGTCTTCACCCTTCTATTCTTGAAACCGTTCTGTCTTCGCGCTTTTTTTTTTTTTTTTTTTTTTTTTTTTTTTTTCGGTTTTATCTTCAGCAAGTCTATCATTGTCTGAATTCCATGCTCAGGAGTCCAAACCACCGTTAATTTGTTCGGGTCGTTAAAGTTCTCGCATGTACAGTAGGGTTCACCATTTTAGATTAGCATACGCATTCTGTAACGGTAAGTAATAAACCGATATGTTAAAAAAAAAAAAACGTATGGCACCGTTTATTAAAATAAAAAGTGTAAATATTTAACCATTTATTTTGTGCATTACTGAATAAAATCTAAAACAGCTATTTTTTGGCAGCCTTCAATATGCCTGTAGGAAATAAGTGATAAGACTCGGACAGTCCAGTAGATAGCAATTTTGAACAAATCTTACTTAAACTGAACCAACTCCTCAATGTTTTGTAACATTTGACAATATAATTCAAAAGTTGAGATGTCTCTCTTTATTTTCACTAAGAGCTGAGATATAATTTGAAATTATGGTAATTGAAAGTGACAGCATTAACGATAATTATCACTCAACATTGAAACTATGGTTGATGTGAAATCATCTAAGAGATGATATCAACTTGCGTGAGTATATTTTAAAACGGAACAAACTCTTTATTGGAATGAGGGCACAAGTAAATATCTTATCACAAGAACTCTCATAATTATGATAGAGAAGAATGGCAATCTTTTCTCCATAACTGAAAAGAACTTCTTCAGCAAGATTGTTGTACACACACATATATATATATATATATATATATATATATATATATGAATGAGATAACGATATAAAGACAAGAAAAATAGTTATCTTTAAAATATAGTTTCAAGATATGCGATAATTGTAGGTAAAAGTGTCCAATATCAGAGATAGAGCGTATATAAATATAATCATAGATACTGGGGTCAACACCAAGCGGCAACATTCTGTTTCATACTTCAGTGCAATCTGTTATGTTTCGGCTCGACTATTTATATATGCTGGTCAATGGTGCATTATGGGTAGCAAGGTATATTGTATTATTCTGACGCTTATTGTCTGTGCGATAACGGTTATGTTTCGAAATATTGTAGAGTTTATTGAGTAGAAATGATTATGGATCCGAATGTATTATTGATTATTTAATTATATACTGTTTATTATTATTATTATTATTATTATTATTATTATTATATTTTGTTGTATTTATGTATGCATTCGTAGTTTATTAATGTGTTTATTATTTATTTAATTTGTTTATTTACATTTTTGTTCGTGTTTTTTCGGGGATTGGTTATCTTATTTCTTTATTTTAAAGTATTCGCCTTATGTTCAGTATATTATATTATCTGAGTTCTGTATAGTACATATATTAGCATTTTACAAAGTTTTCTTCTTTTAATTATCGATTTTCAAGTAACGTAGTTAAAATTTGTTTTCGTGGCTGCATTTTGAGAGAAGTTCTGTTCATTTATTTACTAATTTCTGTTGGTCTGCAAATGTGATTATAACTATTTTCTACTTCAGAGTTTGCAGTTTTGGGATTTTTAATGTAGACTGACACCGTTTTCTTTATTTTCCATGGTATTTTTGGTGTGATTGTGCTTTTGCTTTTAATTTCCCATATCCCATATATGTTTATAAAGCATTATACTGTTCACGTATTTGCTATTTGTAAAGGATGTTTTGTGTGCGTAATTTATGTTTTCATTGTCCTTTAGTTATACCATATATACTTTTTCATCATAAGTTGTTGATTTTATGGCGGCTTGGTCTATATATATTGTTTTGCAAGCAATTGCTATTTAAGGGGCATTCATTCTTTCCTCTGTAGTTTCAGGGGAATTTAGTTTGTGCGTATGGTGTGTTTATTGTTTTCCTGTTGTGCTTTTTTATCATTTGTTTCATGTTCTCGGTGAAACTGTAGCTGGTTTTTACTGTTTTTATTTTTAGTTAAATAATAGAAAAATTTTTATTTTTAGTTAGATAATAGAAAAATTTTCACTTACAAGTTAAAAATATCAATTTTTGCATGCAATGACTTGCATATGATTTTTTTCAGGAATTTCTCCCTTCACATAAATTCATCAAAATATGTTTGCAGAAATGATGCATTTGAAATGCCTTCCGCATAAGGGTAAGACATTAATGGCAATGGTCTCTTCATCGAGCTAATGTCTTATGTAGGAGGTATTCTGTCGCACCCTGTATATTTATCGTTTAAAACACTTATGATGAACCAATACTAAGATAATAAAGTTCAGTCTATTTAAGTTGCTAAGGAATTTATAATTGTATAATGTTATATATATCCTGTCGGAGGGTGAATGTTCAAGCCTGTTGTTCGAAATAAAATACTGTTTAAAATAAACGGAGCGTCTACTTAAATATGTGTATCCACTACAAATAATGTTTAAAGTAATATGTCGGATTAAAAAAAACAAAAATCCATAAATTCTTTAGCAATTGCTTTCCTTACGTTTCGGCTAAGAAACTAAGCATTTATGACATTCGATGAAATCTGAACGAGTAAAGTGTGTTTTAAGGACACACACACACTCTCTCTCTCTCTCTCTCTCTCTCTCTCTCTCACACTTTTTTATTATTTCAGGATATTACATCGAAAAACATGTCAAAATCGCTACACAATTGCAGTCATGTTTCGATGCAAATCAACGCATCTAATCAGGTGATTCGTAAATTACTGGTGAGTGAATGATTTATTCAGATTTAAAAGCAAAATACACCTTGTTTACAAAAGAAAAAAGAAAAAAGTGGGGGTGGTTATAAGGTTTGTGAGCTTTACTCAGAACAACCAATCGAATATGACCTACATTAAATTTAAACTAAGGGAAGAAGCAAAAATTAAGAAATTATTTCTCATAAATGGGTCATGACAAGTAGATTTGAAATCAATGGTAATAATTGATGAGTATCATACAAGCCTGTACGCTTCGAAAAATAAAATAAAAAATTACTAAGACTCTCTGACTAATACTAGTGATATTCCTGAGGTAAAAACAGAAGAAATAAAGTTTTCACTTCAAAATGTGGAATCGGGTGAAACTGGCACAGTCACTCACAGACCTTTTAAATGATATACAAGAGGAAATATGGAAAAGAGTGGCATCGTTATTAATCCAGTGTATAGGGAAAAGAAAGATGTCTCAAAACTTAGTCTAAGAGAAAGTTTTTTAATACAAAAAAGCAAATAGCAAAGGCCTTTGCAACTCTCGCTGTCATATTACTACCGAACATATGTAAATTATTCTCAGACATATTTAAAAACTGTCGATAAAATAGATAAAAACAGCCAAGCAATCATATATTTTAGGATTGGCTACTCAACAATATACTATATGTATAGACAATAAATCACTTCTTCGAAAACAAAAGATAGAATCTAAGAAATGACTTTGTTTACCTTTGGTTGACTATAAAAGTTATTTGATTCGATTGAACACGCGGCAGACATATTCATTACAAATGCAGAATATTAATATAATCCATATGAAACCTATTAAGAATATGTGCAATAAGAATACTGCAATAATGCAACTACACAAAAACCCGGGTACAGTTAAAAAATGGTGAAAAAAAACAAAGAAAGTGGTACGATTTCACGTCGACTATTTACAGTAAACTTTGAAAGTGTTTTTCGGAAACTGAATTTCGAAGGGAAGGAATTGAACAAAATGAAGAATTTTTAAAACGTCTACGATTTGATAATAACATTTTACTAATGTCCTAACCACGGAATTAATTATCAGAAATATTGAATGAACTAAACAGAGAATGTCTCAATGGAGTTTTAAAAGTGAAGAGAAATAGAATTAATGTTCAACTGTAGGGTTCGGGAAAAAGATCAGGAAAAGACAAGATATATATATTGGTTGGTTGATTTTGTTTAGCGACATATCAACCTCTAAGGGTTATTTAATGTCGAACTCTAAATATTTCTAACACAATTTTATGGCTTCAGTTATGAATATTTTAAACTCAAGAGGTCATTTTGCTATAAAATATTGGTCATTTTAATTTAAAATTGGAATGTTGGTAATTTTACTGTGAAAATGTATTTTTATACTTTCATAGTGTTTTGTTTTTGTTTGGGAGTTCACTATCTTCTCATTGGTGGGACTCAAACTGGGTCTACCACCGCGGGTCAAAGTGAACCTCGGGATAACAGCAATCAACAGGTGCTTCTCTCGATTAGAAACCTTGCTGCCGGATGTAGTTTATCGTCATATCCATGACTTTATATATAAATACATAGGATAAGGTCAGCATTAAACAGCGAAAATGGGAATCCTTTTTAACATATTGCCACTTATTTTGTTAAAAATAACTTTAATTGATGGTCAGTATTCTAGGGTTAAATTATTTTTTATGGATTGGATCGTTTTTACGGTTTATCAACACTTTACAGGTTATTTAAAGCCAGACAATTTTTGTAGATTGTAAGAATTTTCGTTTTGTGATAATAATAGTTTAGTAATACAAGTCTTACCAACTAAACTATCGCTGGGGGTAGAAGTGGTTTCATACCCTTCCCAGGGGTATTTTGCGCCTAAGTGAATACAACGAACCCAACGGGAATTGGACATCGGCTCTCAGATGAAAAATATCGAATCTTTATCCATTAAACCACCCTCCTATCCAGTCTTATAGCACCTGGTATTCCCAAGCAGTCACTCATCTCGGTACAGACTAGGCTCGACGTTGCTTAACTTCGGTGATCGTACGGAGACAGGTGTTTCAACGTGATGGTACCTTGGAAATTAATTAAAAAAAATCTTGAAAAAAAATTCAACAAAGCAAAAAATCGATGGAATTTTCACATGGTCTTTAACTCTTTAAAAAGATGAGGAAAACATGTATGCAAAAGAAAACAAAACCAGAACAATATAAGAAAATAATGCGTGCAACTGATGCAATGGTTATCAACGTAAAAAGAAGGAATTAGCGAGCCAACTTCAAATCCCGCAGAGTATGTTACATTTTTTTAAACTTTTGAACTAATATCCTGTTATGGAGTAGTTTCACAGTGGAATCTTGTATTTGTACTAAATCGGTCCTAAAATAGGTTCGATGTACAAAACGTTAGGAACTTGATATTATAGGTATAACACAGTAATCTAGTTGTGGTGGCTGATACTTTAATATCCGACTAACGGCCGTCCGGCATCGACTGACGATATTCATTCACCCCCCCACACACACACACAAGGGCATCATGTGGCACAAGGCCGGTTTAACGTGGGATCTCCGAGCCCGTGGGATCTCCGAGCCCGTGGGATCTCCGAGCCCGTGGGCTCGGCCAAAAATATGCCCATTAAACCCGTATAAACGGGTTCAGGGTCGGTTTACCTCCCCGAAAAAGAATCCGCCCTTCGGCGTAGTCTCCTTCGGGTTCCGCCCCGCCCGAAGGCAGAGAGTTCAGCCGGTCAAGAGTTGAGCGACTGACGATATTCAGTCACCCCCCTCCCACTGGGGCATCATGTGACACAAGGTCAGTTATTTATTTATTTATTGTGGGTTCTCCGAGCCCGTGGGCTCGGCCCAAAAATATGCCCATTGAACCCGTATAAACGGGTTCAGGGTCGGTTTATCTCCCCGAAAGAGAATCCGCTCTCCGGCGTAGCCTCCTTCGGGTTCCTCCCTGCCCGAAGGCAGAGAGTTCAACCGACCAGCCGGTCGTCCGACATCGACTGACTACTGACTGAGCGACTCCTGCTTATTATAGGTGGGAGAGTCTATTAACTATAGAATAGTTGTTTTCCACTATGACATATCCTTAGGAACAACACCAATCCATCATCTCTCGCCAATCTATGCAGCTTACATTTGAGCTCTGTAGATTTTTACAGTAACCAACGTAAGAGGTAGAAAGCACACGCAAAACACTGTCTTTCCCAAGAAGTCGATTCACGGATAATGAATAAAATGAATCTGTGGAAAACTCATGTACCTTGAAAGAAAATGACGTTTAAAAATATATATCATAGAAGTTATTAAATAACAACATTGGATGTAAGAATATCGAGGATAACAGATGAAGCAAGAGGTTGGTTGACTAGTGCAAATGAGGTCGGATAAGGCTAAACAAAGGCTAGAGAGATTCAATACAAGTGTCTCTTGGTGAAAAGCGGACAGACGATCACAGTTACAGCTTTTATGGAAGTATTTGGGAAATGTCTTTATCCTGCAGTGTACTCGCAATCAATTATGCCTTCTGATAGATAGATAGATAGATATAAACAGAATGAAAGAGATAGATAGATAGATAGATATGAACAGAATGAAAAGAGATAGATATGAACAGAATGAAAGAGATAGATATGAACAGAATGAAAGAGATAGATATGAACAGAATGAAAGAGATAGATAGATAGATATGAACAGAATGAAAGAGATAGATAGATAGATAGATAGATATGAACAGAATGAAAGAGATAGATAGATAGATAGATATGAACAGAATGAAAGAGATAGATAGATAGATAGATATGAACAGAATGAAAGAGATAGATAGATAGATATGAACAGAATGAAAGAGATATAGATAGATATGAACAGACTGAGAGAGAGGGTGATAGAGATAGAAATAGATATTAATAGACTGAGAGAGAGATGAAGAAACTGAGATAGATAGATATAAACAGACAGGGAGAGAGAGACTTAATGTAAGTTAATTTTCGTGATATACTTCTATATGATAAATAAGTCATGTGATTTTCATCTTGTAATATTTGAGGTGGCACGGTGGAGTAATGGATAATGGGTCGGATTGAGCAATCGGAGAACCGATTTCGATTTCCAGTCGAATCCATCACATTCATTTACGCTAATACCCTTGGGAAAGGTATGAATCCTCTTCTTCTTCCCTCCCCCCAGCTATGGGTAAATATGTTTCTATAGCCTTTGATGGCAGCTGGTCTACCGTAGAAAGAAATCGCGGGAAAAAATCTGCCACGTCAGTCATGTATCGAAAGATACACGATCGCCTACGCGTGTATCACACATGACTGACTGAATATTTGTGTTCCTCGGAAATGTTTACAAAAAACTTGTGTAATATTCTATTATAGAACTAGAGCTTCGTTTATTATACTGTGAATAGATTTATATAACAGTGTATTTATTGATATTTAATATTTGATTTAATATATATAAAGATTATATCTTTTTTACAAGATGACAATCTCAAAATAGAAAGAGTATATTGTAAAGTTACTGCGTGATGAAAACACAAAATTGGAAATTGCGAAAAAGTTAAACAAATCACAAGACAATAAAAAATGCATTTGTATTCTTCGCAAAATAAGAATAACCAAAAAACATACACACTTATATGCAAACTGTTTGTTTTTTGTTTTTTATCATTCCATCCCAAGCAAGGCGATGAATCTTCAGAGAATGATAGAAAATAAGACTTTAAGAGAAGGAACCAGAAAACCAATCCCAAAACAGGAAACAATGGATAAACCCGCCTACTCCTGTTCAAAAGAAGAACCTATCTACTCCTGTTCAAAAGACATGGAAAGAATGTAAACCGGACGAGAGTGGAACCTATCTACACCTGTTGAAAAACCAGGAAAAAATGTAGACCGGACAATAGGCGAATCTATCTAATCCTGTTGAAAAGACAGGGAAAGAATGTAAACCAGACGATAGACAGACCTATCTACTCCTGTCCAAAAGACGAGGAAAGAAAGTAAACCGGACGATAATCGAATCTACTCCTATTCAGAAGACAAGAAAAGAATGTAAACCGGAGGATAGGCGAACCTATCTAATCCTGTTGAAAAGGCAGCTAAACGATGTAAACCAGACGATAGACGAACCTATTTAATCCTGTTCAAATGACGGGGAAAGGAAGTAAACCAGACGATAGACAAGCCTATCTAATCCTGTTGAAAAGACAGAGAAAGAATGGGAACCGGACGATAGGCGAACCTGTCTACTCCTATTCAAAAGACAGGGAAAGAATGTAAACTAGACGATAGGCGAACCTATCTGATCCTAACCGAGAGTTACGAAATATCTTAGTTGCAATCTTTTGGGGATGCTTTAGAGAATTTGACAATCTTTGACATAAGCAGTGGAAAAATATGTCGAAATTTTAACTAGTATGTTTGTTGGAAATGAAACGCTTCTACTTTTGACAACTGATTTCAAGCATTTCAGTGGATACAATCCATTTAATACGCCTGAAATCCCGCCAACGTTCTTTGTTCTATGATGACAAAGAGAAAATATGTATATCTGTCCCAGACAAATTCATTGTTTCTTCCTGATTTAAGCATTAGTTCCCTAGTAGTCCCTACTCGCCTTAAAACTTTCTCATTGTTGATATGCTCTGTCCATATTATTATCAGCATTCATCGATAGAACCATATCTCTGTCGCTTGAAATTTCTTCAACCGTTAGGAGATTGTGTTATGGGATCCACCTTTTTTTCATAGAAGTGGACTCGACCAGTGTGTATTTGGACTGCTGTCGTTAAATACCCAGAGTCAGTCAGAGTAGACAGTGATTGAGTTGGAGGTAGGGTAATAGTGTGAGGTAACCGCTTGTAGAAGTCACAGTTGCGAGCACGTAGACTCTAAGGAAGTCCTACTTCGAGACTGGATGTACCAGACTGTATATATATATTATTATTGCTACTAACCGCGTTTCTGGATCTAACCGTATTACCAGTTGTATTATTGTGTAAATACATGTATTTTTTATATTTCATTCCTGCGTTTGTCATTCATTGGAGGCCGGATTTCATCTCGGAATCCACAACAGATTGTCCGACATCTACTTCTGTGTAAGAGATTAGATATTACATTGCTGCTGGGCACAGCTTTTTTTTCTTTCTTTTTTTTTCTAACTTAATTTACTTTGTTGTCTCAACACATAAAACCATGAATCAATATGTTCATAGACTGACACGTAAATATAACCTAGTCTCACCTGAAAAATTTCTTTGTATAATGTTCGATATCTGCAATTACTCTTCGTCATTGAATTAAGTGCAGTGACGAAGAATGAGATTGTTAAAAAATAAATATTTACTGTTGTTTTTCTTCAATATGCTACAGACTTATTGATGAACCTGCGTATCTAATAATTAAATTGAATTAAAATTTCGCCCTGTTCGGTGCATGGTTCATTTATAAACAAACAATTTTGTATAGGAGATAATGAAATTGAAATTAGAATAAGGTAAGGATAGATTCATCCAGCACAGCAAAACTAAAACATTAAGCTGAACATTCGATGTCCTTAAATAATCTTTTCAGATCGTGACTTTCATGTGGATGTCTGCATGGCGCCAAAAACGTTCAGAAATATCTAAACTGCTAGCTGTATACAACGGTTTTCTCAGATAGATGGCTAAAGGTGGTTCGAGCAAATGAAGGTCTTGGCGATTACTATGCTTCTTTGAACTGCGTGGAATGGCACTACAGAATCACGAACAAAAACCTGTATAAAATAACAGAAATCACATCACTTGTGTACTTTCAGAAAAAGTAACAACTAAAATGGATATCCCATGTAATTCGAAGAGGAAATAATGACATAATCAAAATGTTGACATTCCACACGACCATAAACAAAAGGTTAGGAAGGAAACCCTTATTACTAGAGAGAGAGCAATAACCGTTAATGGACTTGTGAAAACTATTCACTGAAAAATTGTTTTTATAGAGAAAATTTATTAAATTCAGCTGAGGGTATCAGTAACTGTTCGGTCAATGAATGCTGAATA